ACTGTGAAAATAACAGCTACAAAAACAGAATGATACAGGCATATCGATCATGTTGAAGACTCAATGGCAAAGGCGATTTTCTGAATGGCTTACAATCCTTAGGAAACTAAACACAACCTTCGTTTCAATAGCAATTGTATTCTTCAGAATTTACACACACACACACACACACACACACTAAAATCATTAAAAAGAGCTTTGAGTTCATATGGAACAGGAGTTAGGATTTGGGCTCAAATAATCACACATGGTTTGTTCCCCTACATGAATCTCTGGTGGGATTATTTAGAATTTGTGTGGGGCTTGGCACAATTTTTTTATTGTGTGGGCTCTCCTTAACTTTGCAGGTGGCTTGTCTAGATCAACCAAGAAGCACTGTGGGCTGCTTTGAATGTAAGCCACGTTAGAACCAATATAGTATAGGGAGGAAAACACCAACATATATAGTGATTAAGATCTCTCCTCAGGCACTTGGGAAATTGAACCACGATACAAAGTAACTTTTTAAGATAGCTATTCCTTCTCTAGAACAAGAAGATGGGTTCACCAATCTAATGTGTCAATTGCTCGTCTCAGAGATCCCCTGGCTAAGGGGCCTCTTGATTCTCTGGCTGTCTCTTCTCAGCAGGGGGCTCCTCAGTCTCCGCTCACTGGCAGAATCCCTGGGAGGCTCTGGTAGGGATGGACTGAACATGGAGCCATATAGACTGGAAAGAAGAGTAGAAACCGAGGGGATTGAGAGAGATCTGCAACACAGATAATGAGAGGGATCTTCGATGAACAACCACTTATGCACATGTTTCCCCATAAAATTTAAGATATTTTTATGAAGAATAGATGCTGCCTATTTCTTTCAATAAATACGTTATAAAAATATTAACACTATCACATGCCCTCTGCAAATGTTGTAGTAAAAGGATTCCATTTTAATGTTGACCACCATGCTGTTTTGAAGTCTTTGGCTTCTAAACACTGAATTCTACCTCTGTTTGTCTTTATCTTTCAAGGACTGCTTTGAAGGAGTTCTGGCCCTCTCAGGAAAGAATATCAATGAAATGTAAGGTCTGGGATATAATTCAGATGATTCTAATCAGATTTCTCAACCACTGATCTAATCATTGAACTGTTTTGTTTAGCTTCTTGGTCAAGTTCATTCATTAACTCAGAAAGCATTTGCTGACTATATGCTGGGTCTACCCCTGGGCTAGAGGGTAATACAATTAGTGGATGAATTGAACCCTGTCCTTTAGGGGTTTATAGTCTTATTGAAGGAAGTAAGAGACATAATAGAATGCTATTTAAAATGTATGATGACTTTTGCACTTGAAATATGTTAGAGTTCTCTCCTGGAAGTTTCTCCATTTCAAATAATCTTTTGCCATTATAGTCACCCCTGACAAAGTGTTGTAAAATTAATAGAAAGAGTCACTGGCATTTCACGACTTCACTGACTGTGGGTTTGAGAGGATTCATAGCAGGAGAAGAGAATGAGAAATTGAAACGCCATTGATTTTTTTTTTATTGGAACAAATTGAAACGTAAAATCCCTGCCCCACCACACACACCAAATTCTACGAGACTCTTAAATGTCATCTTGTCAACCAAGGTGAATCCAGATAGAAAAACAACTTAGAGTAAGTAATTTTATTTAAGGTCTGAGAAATGATGAAATTTCTTTCTTATTTTCAAAGAAAATGTGTATACACATGTGAACTATTGGAAAAAATGATTTTTTCGCATGGTTATTTAGGAGAATGGAAAGCTGTAATCAGAAGTTAGGTAACTTCTCCCCCTCCACTCCACCCCCTTCTCCGCCCCCACTCCATATATATTCCTTTTATTTGCTTTCTTATGTAATATCCCTTTGTGAGACCCATGTACACTGACAATGTTTGATGCTTCTTACTTATTTTCCCCCTAATTAATGTTTATATGGGTAGCAGATATACAATTTTCTTCTATGAATGTTGCAGAAAACCACCCTTAAATTTACATCCACATGAGGAATAAATAATCCATAGAAGTCCTTACTTGATCGTTTCTATTCACAGGCTGGGGAAGAGAGCGATGTGACTGCAATCGCATTTCAGAGCGTGGCCAGCGTTGAATGTTTGTGTGTCTCTCATCTTGTAGCCACACCGCTCTTCTGGACACGCGTGCGTTCCTTGCATCCCAGTTTGGTTGCCTGAGCAATGTGCCCCGCCCGGCTGGCCCTCCTCATTAGGAAGAGTAGTCAGGCTTTGGTGGTCAGAGTCTATAGTGTCTCATGAGTTACACTCATTTGTCCTGTGGTTTTCACTGTGACAGGAGGTTGTGGTGACTGTTAAGGAATCAAAGGTGAAACCTATAGGTTCTGCCTCTACAAAGATCTGATTTTTGGGTGGTGAAAACTGTGACTCAGAGTCACTATTCAGGGTCCTTCAGAGCCAGAGAAAAGTCCTCAAGAAAAATGCTGAAGTTCCTTGAACTCAGGTGGAGGAAAGCATCTAGGGTATAGAAGGATCACCATATAACACTCTCCCAGTATTTTTTTTCTTATTGCTCAATAAAAGAGAATATACTTTGGGGCAAGGTGCCAAAATTGATGATGTTAATTATATGCTTTGGTGAAAGTGAGGAAAGAGAATATTGCATCCTTGGACTGTCTTCATTTAAGACCTACATACTTGTAATGACTCCTTGGGGGCTTATATAAAGCAAGTTCATTGCCTGCTGCCTGGCAGGAGAATCTGAAAGTAGGCTATGGGCAAGTTTGATGTGATCGCTTCTGACTACCGAAGACCTAGCCAGTATTTCTGGGACTTGCTGTGTAGGAATGCAAGAGAGTTACATATGTGTGTACACACACACACACACACACAACACACACACACGGCTGGACACTTGCTGAGCTCTCAGACATGATGGGTCATTGCTTAGTGGCTTCATGATCCGGGGTTCTTTCTGGATTCTTACCCAACCTTTCTTCAGGTTGTGGGGCTGCTGGTCACCTCCTGAAACTTTACAAATTCTGTTCTGGGTGAAGTCTGCAGGGCTCAGTGAACAGTACAGAGAGGTCATCTGCTTCTAGGGCCCAACAAAGCCTTTAGATTCTGATCTTGCTTCTCCCCTTACCCGGGCGATTTCCTTTCCCTTCAATGGCTCAGGGGATGGGATTCACCACGTGTCTGGCATTACTGCCTTTCTTTTCCCATCGCACTGTCTGGAGCCTCAATTTTCTCTGTGGAGAGATGGGTGAAGGAGTCTGAGGACCTGGGCCTCCTCCAGGGCCTGGTGTGGCGGGGGAGTCTAGTGTCAGATGGCAGATGCTTACAGCGATGTTCACGTCCTGTGAGACAGGCTTCAGAGAGCTAACGGGGGGTAACGTACAGAGTGAAGTTGCTAGTGCTTTCCTTCCGGGCTCCCCCTTGGTGGGCCTGGGGAGTTAGCGCTCCCCTAACCCCCGCCTGTCAAACTAAATTAAGAGGTTAACTGATGCAACACTGAATTACCAGAAATTGAGATTATTCAGAAGTAGCAGAATTGCAGTGAAGGACACACAAGCTGTAGCTAGCTGCAGGTGAGTCTGTTGATGGTTTGAGGTGATCTGTTTTTATGGGCAAAGAGGGCAGGGAGTCGGGAGTCCAGCCAGTGTCCAAGCAGCAAGTTCATAGGCTGGAGCACTGGGCGAGATTCTTGGCAGACGTTTCACTGGTCTGGGGATAAGTTTAGGTCTTCTGTAAATCAGGTGTTTATGGGAAGTCAGTCTCTCAATTCTTAAGCTTTGTTTTCATGAGGGCACATGTGTGAGATTCTCCTTTTCATATCTTCAGGTTTAATTTTAGGTTAAAATCCTTTCACAATCTCACAGAGACGTTTGTAAACGTTAGCTTACAGAAGGATAATGCGCGTATAAATGCAGACTACCCAGCCCTCACCCACAGACCAGTCAGGGCTCAGAGCTGCAGCATCAAAAGACCCGCCTGATTCTAGTTTAGGTGGTAATTCTCAGAGCATGTGTGGGCACTTAACGCGGAGGGAAGGCTCCTGGCCTTTCCAGGAGCTACTTAGTTAATTCATGGATCAGCACTCGTATTTAAGCGCGAGACCCTTGTCTGACATTTTTGATGCAGATGTTCAGAAACTGACTTCTATTATTCATGATGGTACTACATGCTCTCCCTGGGTGGTTTCTGCTTTCTTTATCTTGCTGTTCTCATTCTCCCCACTTTGGGATCTCCCCTCCCTTCTCTTTTCTTAGCAATAGATGTGTGTGCTCGCTAAAGGGGCTCCTCTTATTTCTTGTCTTTGCAGACCAAGTTCAGGGCTGTCTTTCTTGACCTTTCCCACCTTTCTCACCTGAATTCTGTTATATGCCACTCAACAAACCTAAAATCCAAACAACATGTACTAGATTTTTGTTGCTGTGGATGTTGGTAAGATATTGGTCTTTCAGTGTTGGCCATTTCTTGTCAGATCAAAACCAGCCCTCTCCCGTTTAGAACCTCGAGCTCTGTGTAGACGTCTCCTGCAAGGGAAAGGGAGGATGTTCTTGTGAGGAGCCACAGTGCACTTGGAGCTGTGACCAGCCTGGAGAACACTTCAGCGGGACACGGAGGAATTTCAGTAGAAGACCTCATGAGCCTACTTTTCTTGCTTTTACTGTCCGGCAGCTTTAAACTTGTCCAAGTACTGTGACCGCCTTTGCACTAGGCCATTTCCTGCAAACCAACCTGCATTCTGGCCTCTACCCTCAACAGGGCCGTATATTTTAATTTCTGGCCCTCAAGCAATATTGCCCCAATGCGACCCCCTCACTGCCCCCTCAACCGCCCTGTCTTTGCAATCTGCCACCCTCTACCTTCACCATGACCTTTCGAGAGATATGTTCCAGTACATTCGTGAAGGTTCGCGCATGCGGGAGACTGACTCACGCATCATTTCTACCCCACAGGAAAGTTGTAGCTCTGTATTACCTTCTGATGTTGGTTTTTCTTTGTATTTTTTTCTTCTTGCTGCAGGAAAGCAATCTCCCGGGCAGGCCTGCAGCATCTGGCTCCTGCTCCTCCCCTCGGCCTTCCTGTGGCAAATGGTCCAGCGAAAGAGCCCAGAGCGACTCTGGACTGGAGCGTAGGTGTCAGCTTTTTTGTTTAAACATAATTCGATTGCATGTGTGTCTGTCTCTTTCTCAGGGTTCTCACAGCTACAAGCAAGACTTAATTATTTTTATTTTTTTTATTAATTTGTTTTTTAAATAATTTTTATTTTTATATTACAGTTGACTTACAATATTAGTTTCAGGTGCATAACGCAGTGATTAGACATTGTATAACTTACTAAGTGATCATCCCAATAAATCTGGTACCCATATGACACCATATATAGTTATTAGAATGTTATTGGCTACACCTCCTATGCTGTACTTTACATCCCCATGACTGTTCTGTAACAACCAATTTGTACCTCTTAATCCCTTCACCTTTTTCACCTATTCCTCCAACTCTCCTCTCTTCTGGCAGCCATCAAAATATTCTCTGTATCTATGAGTTGGTTTCTGTTCTGCTTGTTAATTTCATTTTTTAGATTCGATTGTTGATATATGTGTATTTATTGCCATGTTGTTGTTCATATTTTTGATCTTTTGTTTCCTTCTTAAAGAAGACCCATTAACATTTCTTGTAATGTTCATTTGGTGGTGGTGAACTCCTTTAGCTTTTTCTTGTCTGGGAAGCTCTTTATTTCTTCTTCCATTTTAAATGATAGCTTTGCTGGGTAGAGTAATCTTGGTTGTAGGGACTTAATATTCTCAATGTTGTTCACTGACCAGTCTTCACATAGCTAAGCCAGTTACAGGCTCCCAGGAACATAGCTCTTCTATATGAAGTCAGATGTGTTGAAGGCTAAAATAAAATCCTCAGGAGTCATTTGGAGTACTACTGCCCGGGCGTGCAGCCGTGAGATAGAAGGACCTCTGTGCACGTGCTTCCCTGCCCCCTCCTAGCCAGCAGGGAATTGCACTTATCCTTAGCAGTGTCGTGGAATCAAAGTGTGACTTCCTCAGTCCAGGCTGTCTTTGCCTTTTTGGTACTTGTTTTCTTTCCTTTTTCTTAATAGAGGTTGACTTCCCTTTACATCCCAGGCACTTCATGTCCTCCCCTCTGTTCTACTTCTCCCCCTCGCCCAAAGGTAGATGGGTTTTGTCTCAGTAGGAGTGTTTTTACTGATTTTAACATTTGAACCAAAAGACCTCCACAAAAACTATTAACTGGAGTTGAAGATTGCAGCCTGAAATTCTTAAGTCGATGAGAACACATTTATTGCGAAGCAGAGTGAGTCAAGTTCTTGATGGAAGACATCTCTCACTGTGGATTGGAAAGGTTTTGACCTTTCCTGAAGGAATGTGAGGAACAGCATGAAGGGAGAAGAGGCTGTTCTGAAAGTCTGCCTGTCTGGTCTTGATGATGAATCTTGTTCAGCTTTTGTAGTTGAGTTAACAGAGGGGAAATGTGTGTTTTCTTCCCATAAGAAAGAGCGTGGCAAGGTAGGGGAAAAGAGAGAGGTTTTAAAATTACATTAAATTTATTTTTAGTGCAAATGCTATGATTTAATTTTTTATATTGTAATATTTCTCCTTCTCTCTCAAGCACACACTTATTAACATTTTTGTTTTACATCAGTCTTGAGAGTGTTCAGATACCACCTGGGCATGTTGAATTGCTGTTCAGGAAGAATGTTTCTCTCCTGGAGTTTCCCTTTATTACAAGATGGTTACTTAATAAACTCTTAAACCATAACACAGTACAAGATGTATTTACATCAGTGATTATATAATAAAAATGAATTAAGTATGTAAACAAACTAGGTAAATAAAATCAAAGAAGGACATCCATGGACCAAAGATGAGCGTGCATGTATGTTCTAAATCAGGACCCAGCCCTGGCCCAGTGGGTCACTTGGATGGAGTGTTGTCCCTGAACATAAAGAAGGTTGGGGTCTGATTCCTTGTCAGGGCATGTACATAGGTTGTGGGTTTGAAGCCCTGGTCAGGACACATATAGGAGGCAACCAGTTGGTGTTTCTCTCTCACACTGATATTTCTTTCTCACTGTTTCTCGCAATAAAAATATCCTCAGGTAGGGATTAAAATATATTAAGATATATATATTAAAATATGTATATAATATATCAGGGACCCCAAAAGTTAGTTTAGGATTCATGATGTTTCAAACACTTCTCTATTTGAGATGCAAGGTTTTATCAGAGTTTAAATTATTTAGATGGAAACATTCATTACACCCTTTTTCTGCTCCTTGTGTTCTGCTCAGTGTTCTCATCTGTAGATGGGGATGGTTGTGGCCCCTCCTAAGGGAAACTTCATGGGTGTTGTTAGGCTCCAACATGGCAGCAAATGGGAAAGTTCTTTGTAAACTGTGCAGCCTGCAGACTTATTTATTTATAAATAAAGTAGTTGAAAAATTTATTAATTTATCACACAGTTGAGTACTTGCTTTGTCCTAGAACCTCTGTTGGTTTCTTGGAATTCCGAGGCGAGAAAGATGTTTCTGTCTTGAAGAAGCTTAGAATACAGTGGCCAGAAAAGAAGCCAACAGGTAAAACACAGGGCGCCGACACCTGGAACAGAGGGGTACAGAGAGCATCCCTGGAGTGTGAGGAAGGACACTCTGTCCCTTTTTGGTGTTGGAAATAGTTATTAGAAATGCTTTTAAAAAGAAGTGTCCTGCTTGAGCCAAAGCTTGGCTAGTATGTATTATTTTCTGATTTCTAATATTTCATTAAAAGGGTATTTTGGGCTGGTGGCGCGGGGCTGCAGTATGTTGTAAGGGAAGAGCTAACAGGAACTAAGGCTGGGTTCGTGTGTAATGGTTCTTTACTCCCTCCTCTCCTTTGGTTGTGGGAGCCGCATCACGTGGCCTGTAGAATTATTGTAGTGGCAGGAAACACTTTGGGAATTTTAACAACGGAGGGAAAACTGAAAGTCTTGTCTGAAAACACTTGTCTGAAGGCTTATTAGAGAGATACTGTAGGAAAAGTTTTAAGCTGTGACTCTGCAAAAAAAAAGAATTGTGGGCTAATATTGCTGTTAGCAAACAGAAGCCAAACTGGGACCAACCCTACAATTTTTTACAACAATGATGTGAAACATTTTTCTCAGAAGAGAGGAAGAAACATTCTTTAAAACATTGTGGTAACTTCCCGATGTTGAGTTGCATGAGTTCCTTATATATTTTGGTTATTGGATATATCATTTGCAAATATCATCTCCCATTCAGTGGGCTGAATTTTCATCTTGTTGATGGTTTCCTTCACTGTGCAAAACCTTTTAGTCTGATGTACTCCCATTTATTTATATTTGCTTTTGTTGTCCTTGCCCAGGAAGACACATCCAAAAAAATATTCAAAGAACAATGTCCTAAGAGTTTAGTGCCTATGTTTTATTCTAGGATTTTTATGGTTTCAGGTCTTATATTTAAGCCTTTGGTCCGTTTTGAGTTTATATTTGTATATGGTTTAAGAGAGTGGTCCAGTTTCACTTTTCTGCATTTTTCTGACCAGTTTTCCCAACACCATTAATGGAAGAGACTGCCTTTACCCACTGCATATTCTTTTGCTAGGACTTTACTTGTACTTGCTTCAAAGTTTTTGGCTTTTCCTAATGAATGTGCCTTTCACCCATTTCATCTGTGTTATTTTAGTTTGCACCTCTATTCAAGGAGCTAAACCAGGATTTTTTTCTGTTCTGTGCAACGTGGAAGACTAGTCTTCTGTCGGCCTACCTCTGCCATTCCCGCGTCCCTCCCGCCGTGACTTCTCCCCTGTGGAAAAAGAGCATGACTGTCTCCCCGTCAGCCCGCTCTTCTGGACTAAATGTGTTAAAGTGTTCGATCTTTACTTATTCACTGCTGTTTATTAAGCATTAACTTGGCTTGGGATGCCGTAAGAGTCTTCCGAATGAGGAGGAGGATGGCAAGAATGCAAAAAATAAAATAAAATAAGGTGGATCTTCAATTCCTTGCTGTTGGTGAGGATGGAGGGCCCCAGTATGGCTAAGCTGTGATTTTGGCAGAACTGGGGTGGAGCAGGGCTGATGAGGGTCCTCTTCCTTGTTCCCCATCCCACCTCCCCTGACTCTCAGGTTGAAATTCTTTTTGTTCTATTACCATGTCACTTGGGAGGTGAGGGTCATCTCAAAGGCCTATAGCACTGTGACCCCCTGACTTATATCACCTCTCTTCTCCTCGTTTCACCCACAAGAAAACAGATATGGAGCTGTTCATGGTGCTTCTGAAGTTGCAAGACAAATCGGGGTTAACCCAGACATAGGGTCTTAGCTCCCAAGTTTCTACTTATTGTAGGATCTCAGAAGGGCCCTGTTCTGACTTCAGTGTATGTGCTAAAGTCCTCAAGAGGGACACAATTCTTTCCTAGATGTCTTTTTGCAAAGAGTTGTCAGGAGCAGCCCACTGGTAGGGCCTGAGAGCCTGGGGAGCACCGGTTCAGCGAGCCCGGGCTGTAGGCACCTGTGCACTTTGGTGAGACGTTTACTCTTCTAAGAGTCAGTTCTTATGCTTTGAGTCATGAACTTCAGAGTTTCCTTCAAGTATTCCATTTCATTTTCTCATTTTCCTACTTAGTGATATACTCTCTCTTATTTTGAGTCTGTTCCTCAAAGTCCAAGCTTCTCTCCTGCTCTGATTTACTCAGAGGGTTTATTGTGACCTGCAGGATCCTCTGCCTCACCCAGTTTCATTTTCTCAATGACTCTTGGCCAACATTCACTCTTGCTGCCTGTGCACAGGCCCTTTGTGCCTGTTAGGATTTGAACCCTTCGACATGTGGGGAGTAGCCAGCTCGGTCTTCAGCTTGGTGCCTGGATCTTCTCTTGACAACAGTAGACAGTCGGCGCCACCCAATGTGGGAATTATTTCAGGAGATTTCCTCTCTTGCTCTTTGCCAGGCTACGCTCATCTTTTCAATCCAACCGATTCTGTTTATTTTATTCACTTCCTGCTTTGATTCCACACTCTACCCATCATGCATTGTCTTACCAACCTTAGAACCAAATTCGTGTTTTTAGTAGATTTTCTTATTCTAGGTCCTTTGTTAGGCATCAGGCTCCTTGAATGGAGGGACAGTATTTTCTGCTTGTCCCTTCTTCACAGTGGAAAGCACAGTATCATAAGCCTCGTAGCTATCTGGTTACTGACGTCAGGGGACTGATTGATTATAGTTTTTCTGCTCACTCACCGAGAAGGGGACATTTTACTGGGAGTTGATGGCCACTTGGATCATCTCCAGCTCCTGAAAGGTGTAGTAGTCATGAGTTCAAAACCTGCTTTAAATATAAATGGATTTATGCTCTTTTTAATTCCATGTAACTCTTTTTAAATTTACTTCCTAATACAATGCATTGTGTTAGATCTTAAAACACACACAGTAGTTTGATCTTTTCATTCCTCCCGATGGCGTCCTCTCTTCACCTTCCTGGTGGCAGCCTGCGGGGGCTGCTCCCACTGACACCCGGCCAAGCCAAGCCAGTTTTGGGGAAAACAAGCTAATTTGCTAGAAGGGGAGTAAAGCTCAAGAGGGAAAAAAAATATTCTCATCTGCTGGGCTGGAGTCCAAGTTTCCAGTGTAGAGAGAGTTCGCCTGTTTAGAAGTGTGTCTATTGCGTAGATAATGTGTGTCTTCTCTTAAGGGTCCCATGCCTCTCTTGTGACAGAGACTTCATCTGGACTTAGAGATTTCTCCCCCGTTTTTCACATTATAGCAGAGAACACGGGAGGTGGGTGTTCTTCTGTCTCCACTGTTGAATAATTTGTTTCTGCCCATGATACTGCCTAAAACAACTCTCAGAATGATGATGGAAAAGCCGCCAAGATTTTTCTTAAAGGCTGTGTTGGTTTTAAACTTAGCATCCTCGATTTCAGTTCATTTTTTTCTTCCCTCATTGGAAACTTTCTCCAGTCCCGAGGCCTCAGGAAAGCAGAGCCTCAGCCCAGACAAAGCCAGATCCTAAATCCAGACCACCTTTTCTTTCCTGTAGTTGATGACGCTAAGAAATAGGCATTTCTCCTAGGCAGGTCGAAACCTAACACTGTTAGTGCACCGCCTCACTGCTTGGTTCAGGGACAAGATTAGGGAAACAGAATCTTCATGTGGGATTGCTTCAAACTGGGTTATGAAAGTAGGTCATCTTATCTTTAGAAACCTTGAATGAAAAGCCAGGAGGAGGCAGGTGTGTGTGTGTGTGTATGTGTGTGCGCACGTGCGTTCTCATTTTAGTCTTATTTCAGATGATGAGTCCTAGTGGACCTGTGCCTTCTCTACAAGCTTCAGGCCTCAGCAGCTTTGCCTTTGGGGTTTGGGTATCATCACCAATAGTGACTTCCACGTTTTATCCCCCTCCCATCTCAATCTCAAAAACAATGTTAGGCGAACCAAGAGATCAGCTTGCTGAGAGGGAGCATGGGGAACTAACCAGCTGTAAAGCAGGCCAGGCCCTGCCCCTGGTCAGCCATGTTAGCAGTGGGAAAGATCTCGCAGGATTCTGCATACCCTTGCCAGTCCTTTGTTATGCAAAATTGTGAGAACTTTAAATTAAATCACACTGGCTGCTGGGGGAAAGCATAGAATCCTGCCACTCCACAGGTCAATGAGAAAGATCTAGGCCTGATCTTCTGCCCTTGGGCAAGGTATTAGCTAAATGAACACTGTCCATTAGAAATACATATCAGGTTTAAAGTAACTCTAAATTTTCTAGTAGCCACATTTAAAAAAAACAACACAAAAATAGTTAAATGAGTTACTTTCTGGTGGCTGTCCAGGGGCAGAGAGATAGCAAGTCTAACAGATCAGTCATAAACAAGTTCTAGAATCTATTACCTAAGCCTGAAGAGGTGGGGCAGGGTTTGCCGGATTATTGGGGCTCAGACATAGTCACCTCCAGAACTTTGAAAACTCCTGCTATCTAGGTCCCCCATCAGATTAGTTAAAATAAACTCTGGGGATGGTGCCCAGGTATATCTAAAAACTCCCCAGGTCATTGCGATGAGCAGTCAAACTGGAGGACCTGTGTGTCAGAGCCACTGTGGCAGAAAGCTTCCGTCTTTTCCTTCCCTTGTCCCTCTTCCCTTACGAAGGCCAGTATTTCTAACCAGATCCCCCCTCAGGCGTGAAGTTAGCTAATCAGTCCTGGGTCTGAGCCTGAACCGGTTCGTCAGCAAGGTGGGACGCGGGGTGAGGCGGGCCAGCGGCTCCTGGCCCAGGGTGGCGCCTGGTGGCCCAGCGAGCGGGAGATGCACCAGTAAGCCCGGCGTCCTGTGCCTGCCTTACCTGACCTATCAGGGACTCGACTTCCGGCCTGCCTGCACTGGTATGACCAATAGTTTTTTACCATTTCCCCATTGCAACATTTTATACGTCAGTTTCTGAAAGAGTTGGCAGGGTTTTTGCTGTGTTTAGGCTTCCCTGGGGCTTGCTGCTGTAATCTTGTGTTAGTTTCCATATTCTCGGTGGATTTTACTCTGTGGATTACCCCGCCAACCCAGTGTCTGGCACCCATGATGTGGAATAAATGTTTATTGAATGAGTTAAAGAATAAAAGGATGAAAGGGATTTTATTCTATAAATGGTTAGACGTTCAAGCTGGATGATAAATTCCCAGTAGTAGAATATTTGAGATTGTGGAGATCAATGTTTTTAGAAAACCTAGCAAAGAAGTGCCTTTTTCTTTCTTTTTTTTTTTTTTAGTTATTTTTACAAATATTGTCCTCATCCATCAGTGTGTGAAAACTTTTCGAGTCCAAACTACAGGTGTTCTCTGTTTGCCACTGGAAGTAGTTGAATTTTTTTTTGGAACAGGGAAAACCTTTAATCTGAAAAATTTAGAATTAATTGGGTGAGGGTCCTTCTGAACTGGCAAAATGTTTGAATTAGTAGAAACTTATTAGGCTTTTAGTGCACTGAGACTTTAAACTTAAAGCTGTTTCAAGAAACCTCTGGCTTAGAAGTATAATTTACCCATTACTGGTATAAGATGTGTTTTCAAACAGCGTTTACTTAAAGAACTTTAATACTACTATCCTTCTTCTTAGCTAATTTGCTCAATAAAGGCAACTTTGAATAGAATTTGTTTCAATTGTCATGAAATCTGCAGTGTTTTGCCTGGAGAAATGAGGCCTTACATTGAACAATTTGAGGGTTTTATCCTCATTTGTTTAATATATGTTTCAAGGATCATCATGTCCATGGATGAAGCATCTGTAGATCAAGTGGCTACTTTAGTTATTGGCTCAAAGTTCTCCCAAACACCTTCTTCCACGTCTGGAATTTTGGTAGGACCAACACCAGTAGTATCTTCAGGAGTAAAATGAGAAGCGTTTAAACTTCTTGGGTTCACTAACTTTCTCGCACCCAAAATCAAAATTTGAGAGCCTCCCCCCTCCACGCCTGAAAAGAAAACTGAAGTTGGGTGGGTCTCTTCCTTCCAGGAGAACGCCGTGAACGGAGAGCACCTGTGGCTGGAGACCAACGTCTCGGGAGACCTGTGCTACCTGGGCGAGGAGAACTGCCAAGTCCGGTTTGCAGTGAGTGCTCTCCTCAAGCCTCTGGGCTCCGCCCTCTTGGGGGGAGGCCTCCAAGTGGATTCTGAAGACAGCGGGGGTCGCTGAGCCTGAATGTCCAAGGAGGGGTTTGAAAGAGCTTGTCCCTCATGAGACAGTTGACAGAGCGTATCAAGTTAGTGTGGCTTCCAAAGGGTCAGCGTGAACGGTGTGAGGGCTTGACTATGCGTGCCAAACCTGGGTATTAACGTGCCACCTAACAGTGACACCCAGGGTTGGCTTCTGTTTGTGTGCTGGGTGGGAGAGAAGGAGAAGGAGCATGAGGAGACGTCTGCTCATGTAGGGCGCGTCAGTGTCGGGGGGTGCCCGGGGGGGAGAGGTCTCCGTGGGAGGGCAACTCCTTTGCGGGGCGTGTGTGTGGTGGTGGGTGTGGGCGGTAGGTGAAGGTGGGGATGGGTGGAAACACCTGTCCGGAGTGGGTGTAGGTGAGCAAACAATGGAGACTAAGTTCTAGGCAGGGGCGACCAACCTGCGGCCCAGGATGACTATGAATGTGGCCCAATGCAAAATCGTAGATTTACTTAAAACCTTTTTTTTCTTTTGCTCATCAGTTTTTGTTAGTGTTTGTGTATTTAACATGTGGTCCGAGACCACTGCTCTCCTTCCAGTATGGCCCAGAGACGCCCAAAGGTTGGACACCCCTGCTAGAGGGTCAGATGCTAGAGACCATATACACAATCACCAGTCAACCGCATTGCATATCCTTTGCTTTTTAAACTTTACTTTGTGTCTCTATTTAGACCAGCCTGTTTAAATGTTCAATTCTCTTTATATTTTGTGAGAAGAACATGGTTGCCAGGCAGTAAGTTGTGAGAAACTGAAATTTTAATGTTGAGAAAGTGAACTTAACATTTTTGTGTAGTTTAAAATTAATGGTCCAAAAGCAGAGTAATCAGAAATTGGAATAACAAAGAAGAATGAAATGTTCCTTCTTGGGAAATGGGCATCATAATTGAAATAATACATTTTTTGTTCTTGTTACGTTTGTTTATTATATGAAAGAAAGTTTTGGGGCCTTGGAATTACCAGTGGATATGTTTCTTTTAATAACTAATAAGGGAGAAATTGAGTTTCCGTCAAAGCTTGCAGAGGAATATAGCCCCCAAGGACTTTTATCAGGCTGCCTGGGAACCAAGCCCTTTAAAAAAATTACATTAGCTGTTTTGATGTCTAGTTGATAGGTTTGGTTCGGGAAACTTCGTGTGAGTTTTGGAGGACCAGGGTTTGTTTGAGTGACCCTGGGAATAGTTAGAGGTCGATGAAAGACCTCGTTGTACAGACTCTTAGTATAGTCAGGAAACCTGGGTTTGAATCTCAGCGTTACCACTCATTGTGCGACATTCAGAACCTTTGACCTTTAGATGTTCTCTGCCTTCTCAGTAGAAAAATGGAGTGGGGTTAAATTATTTTTAATTTTCTTTCCAACTAAGATCTGTACTTAATTGTTTATATTTCTTTTAATCTGGTTGTACATTCAATTGATTTAGCTACCATTCCAACTTTATGCATATTTATTTTTTAATGAAAGTATAATTGCATGGAGTTTGATTAAATTAACCAAAACCAAGAGAAGCTCAGCTTTTTGGACTAAAACCCTATAAATAATGATTTAACATTATTATCTTAGTTAATTGCATAAGCGCTGGTCTTGATAACATAAAATGGAAAAAGTGAAAGCCCATCTTACTTGTCTATATACTTTTGAAAAATTATCTATTCTTACTGCTGCCAGCTGATAGATTGTAATTTGTTACAGAGTTGTGTCTTATTTTCAGGTTCCTGCCTTTGATTCTTTCATGTGCTCTTTCACGGTCAGCCATATACTGTCACTTGGGGCAAATATATGAACGTGTACATACATCCTCCTCAAGTCTTGTATCAGTAATGGGCATTGCTCTCCACTGATTATGACTTCATCACTATTCCCTCTAGGCCTGGAAAAGCAGCGAGGAGAATAAAGGAAATTTTAGATAGATCTAAAGAGGTAATAGAGTCATGAAAATTCCAAGTGTCCTGTTAACCTTTCTCAAAATTTCCCCCAAAATGCTTGACTCTATTAACTCACTTTATAAAGTATCTTAGAGATAAAGAGCTTGCCTCTAAAAAATGTTGATTAAATGAAGGAATAAATCAGTGTGGAAGCTGAAGACCTAACTGTATTTCTTCCTTAGAAGTTCCTGATGGCTCAGTTTCTTCATGTATAAAGTGAGAAAAATGTTGTTTGGACTATTCATTGAGATAATGCATTAAAAGGACTTATTTACCATAGAGACTGACATAATGAATTAAAAGGGAAAAAACAGACAGGAGCAGACAATTCACAAAAGAACTACCACAGGCCAATTTTTATATGAAAAATATAAACAAACATACCCAAATTAAAACAACTATGAAGAGTCAAGATCATGTGTCTATTAAATTAGCAAGGATTTATAAAATAATAATACATACATACTGTTTGTTAGTTTAGGCTGCAATGGGCATTCTCATCATTAGCTGGCGGGGTATAACTTGATGCACTGCGCAAAACGGGCAGTGTGTAGCAAAGAATTAAAAATCTAGCTCTCTCCATGTGATCGGGGCATCACATTTTGATAGGGACAGTGACGAGCAGAAGCGCAGAGGAGTGTGCTCATGTGGGTTCGGAACTCTGGGGAACTTTGTAGAAGGAAGCATTAAATAACCTGGGTTGCAAATGAGCACTAACAAGGGAAGGGAGAGAGAGGGGACCTCTTCCAGTATTTGAGAGCCGCCACAAAGAAAAAGGAAGTAAGTGTCCTACTACCTACCAAGCTACCTACCTTGTTAGGAAGGTAGCACTGAGTTCTCCACTCTGTAGAATCCACCGACTCTAATTGTGGACCTAACACTCGGGAAAATAGACATCATCTGGGAACCCTGTTGGGAGCGAAGGTTATTGGTGCTCTTCTTGCTCCAAGTGCTGATTCGCCGTGTCTGGAGTTGGACTTGAAAATCTGTAATTTTAACAAACACCTCAAACAATTATGGTGCAGATGGTCCACAAACTTAACTTTGTGAGGTAGTGTGTCATCAGAAAGAACGTTAACAGCGAGAGCTGCCCAGCAAGGGGTCTGGAGAGATGGGCTCGAAGCACGTGTCTACAGAGAAGCTGGATGGCCGTTTGGGCACTGTGTGTGTGCGGGGGGTGGGTAGGGGTACACATGTGCTTTGGGTAAGAAGCTGGGCAAGGGGATCTCTAAGAGAGCCTCCAGTTTGAGTGCTCTAGTTGCAGCTTTCTTAGAATTGAACAACGTTTTTGTGAGAAAAATGCACTCATAAACAGATTGTTATGTTCTTATTCCTTTTAATGAGCCATCTTTGAAGAAGGCTGACCTGCTGAAATAGGAGCCAAATTAACATAAGCAGGTGCTACCTGCAGGCTTCTAAACGAGGTGCAGGCGGAAGGCTTGGAGGAGGAGTGAACCCACTGCTGAAGAGTGCTTTCCTCTCCTTGCACTTTTCCAGCAAAGCAAATGTCACCGCAGAAGTTAGAAGGGAGAAGTCAGTGTGGGTTGAGTAGACAGAGGCGGCTTCATGGAAACAGGGATTGAGCACAGTTTTGAAAGATGGGTAAGCTTTATGTAAGTGGGGTAGAGGAAGAAGAACACTTCAGTCTGGGAGAGGAACATGAGCATGCTTAGAGGCGGGGACAAGCTTTGTAGACGAGGAGGCCATCGTGAGACAAGCATGAGCACCCAAGGACGGATGGGGGTGTGTCCATGTTTGCTGAACCAAAATGTGGAGTGCATGTTACAAATGTCTGTGCTTTGGAAGCACGGTCACATAACACAGGGTCCAGCACAAATAATGCCCCTTTTTATCACAAAATCATAATAAGCATGTCATTCTGTAACATAACAGTGTCACACTGAAGCACACCATATGACATTTTAGGTGAAATGTTCAAATTAAAACTATAAATGATCACTCCCATATTATCACCCTACCAACCCCATTCAAGCAGGCCTGACTTCTGCCAGACCCTGTATATTATCCAAACCAAGACAGTCTGCAGGTGAAAGTGGCTGCTGCTGTGTCATGAAGGGTCAACCACACCTGCATCAGGGACACTGTCACCCTGATTTATGAGGACATTGCAATAGTCTATTTAAAACCAACGCTGTCCTGCAAATCTGTGACCTCCTGCTGCCATATGATTGATATCTGGGGACTAATTATTGGAGGCCATTGAAGGCAAGGCGGAGCCATTGCCGACATGAAGACTGTTGTAGGAGAGTTTGCTCCCAAAGGTCATGGCCCACATGACCTTTAAAGTCCTTCCTCTTTTACATTTCTCTAGTGGCAGCATTTAATGCAGTAGAATGTCTGTGAGCAGTTATTTAATGGGATTAAAGTTATTTTCAAATCAGTGACAGTACCCAAATTAGTAACTGTTTCTTTTTTTGGTCTAAAAAGGAGAAAGGGATGTAAAAATAATGAAACTGGAGCAGAAGGATCGTTGTTTCCCTACATGGCTATGAGGGGAAACTTAAATACAATTCCAGCTAGGGCTGCTCTTGTTTGGTGATGTTTATTTGGATAGACATTTGTTCATTCATTTATTCTGTGCCGAGCACCCCATATCAGAAACTTCAAACAGTGTTGGGAGTGACAGTGAGTTGTAAGTGACAGCCTCATAGTTAAGTGGGTAGAAATAATTCTCATGCTTTGTTGATAGGATGTACAAGGACATTCATCCAATATTTGTCCCCACAGAAACTCACGCCTCCACTAATGATCCCCCGAGCACATACCGGTGCACACCTACTTTTATACTTAAGACATTGGACTGTGCCATATGTGACACATACAACCATAGTCACACCTGCCTAGATGCACGTCGACACAGATAGGCAACCGGGTAGTAGGAAGGAAGTGGATTTGGTGTGAGACAGACCTGGGTTTGAATCCCACTGTTCCATCTATGTACGGAGTGAACTTTG